ACCTCAGAGGCGCCGCTCTGTGAGCCCCCCCCCTCGCCCGCGCTGTCGCCCTCTTTCAAAATCCATTTTCTTGGACGTTTTCCCCATGAGAAGAAGCCTCAGCCTCCTCCCTGCCTGCTGAAGGACCGTATTCTTACTTTTCCCTCAGGTTTACTATGTGAGGGGGCGAGGAGGGGGCACAGCACAGAGGAAAGGTAAGGCCTCGAGGTGCCGAGCGTCCCTGAAGGTGCGAAACCCACCGCCACCCCCGGCAGCATGTCCGGCCCCGTTTGTTTTCCAGAAACACTCTTGGAAAACCAGCCCTGCGTCCAGAAATGCCTGCTTGAGGGCTATCCCACAGCCTCGTCTGCCGGGGCTTAAATGAGGGAGACCAAAGTAAGCCTGCATCCAAACCCGTTGGCCTGGTGCCTGTCAGGCAATGCAGGCTCCTGTGTGTTTGTTGGGATAGAGACCTCTTCCAGGCTTTGCTGTGTTGCTCCCTTTCATTCTTCATGAAGCCGGTGGGAGCCTGAAGCACGTGGAGAATCACAGCATTAAATAAAAACCTCTGATGTATTTTAACTCGCATCCAAGGAGGCTGAATCTTGTGTTCATAACGTCGGCATAAACAGAAGCAAGGCTTTTTTTCCTCGCACTGCCGGTCCCCGTTATCTCGGAAGCCTGTCCCCTTCTAGGACGGTTTTGACGAGCCGTGTGGGCCTGCTCCAATTGCAGCTCCCACGTGAAGGGACAGAGCTTGGGAATCGGCCAGGGACAACTCATAAATGTCCTTTCAGATTCTTCTAGCGGGTTTTAAACTATAACGTAACGTTTGTCTTAGTCCAGCGTCTTAAAGCCACTTAATTTAAAAAGGAAATCTGAATTACCACCTCACTGGTGGTAGTTCTTCTCAGCACTCAAAGAAGCTAAAAATAATCGATGAGCAATGAATTTATACTTGCTTCTTCATATAATTTGGGGGGGCTGTTCCAGAGGAGCTTTTCTTCCAGCATTGACCTGGAAGCAGGCAGTTTTTAATTTGCTTAAACTTTAAACATTCAGGTCTAGCATGCAGGTGTAACTTTACTTGTGTATTAACCGCTGAGCATGGAGACAATCCAAGGGCATCCGCAGCGACTCCTTCATCTCCTTTGGTGATGAGTCGGTGAAGAAAAGGTCTCATTAATTTCCTGGGGTGGTTCTGCAGGCTGGGGTCTGACATTGGTTGAGCGGCGTAGTTGTATTTTGTAGAGTTACAGCAAGGTTTTTGTAAATATACACTCTGAGCGACAGGGTTAATTTGGCATATGCTTTGTTTAGGTGTTTGGTTTTAGCTGGGATACATCTTTGGATTTCTGGCGTTCTCGCAGCTGGATGTGTCTTCTTTATACTACTTATGGAATTGTTGTGGTTATGTTTATTCAATGTTGGCGACTTGGGCATCGTTTAAAGATAATGTTTCCTTGCTGAAATCTGTACCTCAAAGGCTTTAGGATAAATTAACTGATTTCTTTGGTGTGGAGGGGGAAGGAGAACACCGCAAACCTATGCAGGGACTCTGTCAGCATAGTGCCATTAATAAAGGTGATGAGAGACAACGCTGTGACAGGAGAAAGGGGCAGCCAAGCCAAGAGCCCACGGTGTTTGATGTTTATGCTCTCTCCAACTCCCTGTAGTCTAAGTAGCTGGAAAGTTTCTGATGTCTTGAGGAGGAAGACTTGGAGAGAACCTTCTTATCTTGCAAGTGCCCGTCGCTCCCTCTCCTTCGTGGCACCTGCGTTCACGGCATGGCCAGGTACTGCGGGATCCCCTTGGTGCTTTTTATCCCCTGTGGCAGCAGTGCCACACTCTGAGGTGATGCTATTTAATTTCGGTTACCTCAGACTGTGCCAGCGTGATCTGTCTCCCTGAAGAGCAAAGCTCCTGCACAGGCCTAAAATCTGGAGGTTTACGTTTCTTGGCTGAATCTCCAAGACTTGTTCTTAAGAGAAATAAGAACTGTTTGGAGATGGGAGAAGACTAAACATTATTTCTGGTGTGGTTTGGGTTTGTTTTTTTTTCCTTTTTGGTTATCTGCATGAAATAGAATGAAGGTTGAAGTTTGTGATATTAGGCAACCATTTCTTGGTAACTATAATTATAAAAGGTGGTTTTTTCTGAGTTCAAAATAACTTTTGAAATGTCCTCAGTGCTTTAGAGGCACTTAAAAATTGAATTGATGACTCCATTTCTGCTGTTTAAGGTAATGCGAATGTGTAGGACGAATTAAATGGGAGCAGTGCTCAGGCAGGTGAACAAGCAAAACAAAGGAAGGGCTAGGTAGGAGTTTGTATAGAGGCTTGATATTTGAGACTTAGCTGATAATAATAATAATAATATAAACTTAAATTATATCCATAAACTAAGCCAGTTTAGAAAGTGGGGAAGGTTTTACCTTCGGCTGTTAGGTACGCTGCCTCGGAGAGGATTGAGTGCAGACCTGGACAGCGGTGGGAATTCAGCGTGTTGCTTTACACAAACTTCCTTCTTACATATTCCAGTTAACAAAGGTCACATGCTTTAGTCCTTAGCTTGTCTAAAGTGTCTTTGCACTGTTAATTAAAATTTGGCTGGCTTTGTGCAAGCAGCCTGTTGTTCCAGAAGAATCAACTCATCCAAAATGAGAGATCTTACCATACTGGAAAGAAAAAAAAAAAAAGAGGATTTCCCCC